ATTTCTATTTGAGGTGATGGGAACGTTTGGAAATGGTGATGACACTTGTCCAGCAATATGAATGTGATTATATACCCATGAACTATGCCTTTCAAAGATTAAAGTAGCAACCTGATTCTTTAAAAAGTAAAAAAATGGCTGGGTGTGGTAACACATGCCTTTAATCCCAGCACTTGAGAGGCAGATCTCTGTAGTTAGAGGCCAGCCTGGTCTACATAGCAAGTTCCAGGTCAGCTTGGCTACAGGGAGACCCTGTCTCAAAAAGACAAAAATAATAAATAAAAAATAAAAACAAAACACAAGGCATACACCTGCAAACATGCCTCTCTGAATAGAACCATACTAAGGGTTTCAACTGCTCCTGCTGTTCTCAGGAATACTGGCATTCTCACTCAAGAGAAGAAAGTCACACTTCATTCAGAGGAATGCTTTCCTAATGTGCAGGAAGAGACACTCGTGGCCACATTAGGGGCCCAGGTTCTTTGGGGCAGACTGACATGCAAAAATGGCACTGATGGCTCTACCAGCTCCCACCACCCCAGTCTACCCTCCCATGCTGCCCACCTCACTCTGCCCACACCATTTAATTTTTTTCCTCCTGTACCTGGGAGGCCCCATGCTATCTTTAAGAACCGGCTCCCTCTTTGCTTGGTCAAAATGCCCCTTCGGTACAATCATTAGCCATACAGTTTTATCTACAGAACTCCAGTGCTATTGAGATTTACCATCGACAAGTGAATATGGAGTCCAATGGACTTTAAAACTGCCATGCCTATGTAGGGGAACACACACAACCTCCAAAAAGACCCCATAATATTCTGTCAAAATGAAGCGATTAATAGTTAAATTCGAGAAACAAACCTCCTTAGTAGCTTAGGCTCATTCTTAAAAACAAGAGGAAGCTGGGCTCCTGACTTTACTTTTAATAGAGGAGTTGGCATGACAACTAGGGCTGCTGTTTAAATTGAAAGGGAAAAAAAGTGTTCCTTCCTACACAAACTTTGCAGCAGGGCTCACAATTAGCCCTTAAAAAACCATGAAAACTCATAGCACCGGAGCAATGGTAAATATTGGGCTTATATTTAAACCTGTCAGAGAGAGGCCATGATAAACTTGGTTTTGTTTCCGTTGTTCCATTCTTCCTGCCAGTAGCAGGCTAAACAGGGCCCTGAAGGAAAGAAAGGTTGATGTGGGCACATGCCAAGGCAAGCCAGAGAACAGCCCTCCATCTTGAATAAGCACTGCGAAAGAGAAGGACATGGAGGGAACAATGCCTCACCCCACCCCCAAGAGCATCTCTGTTCCCTTGCTGTGAGTCAGCTTTCAAAGCCCGGGTTTATACAGTGCTTCACAATGTACTTTCTGCCTGGGAGTGTCAATGACAGGAGAGGAGATGTGCTGACATTCACAACAGAGCCTCCTTGTCTTCTTGATGCCCCTGGACCACAATCAATCAAGAGGGAGAACCAAAAACAAGGAAATCCTGCCCTGATGTGGACATGAGGCTGGCTAGGGACAAGAGAAGGGAAGGCTTAAGGACAGAACCTCTTCCCTCCCAATAGCCTGGTGCAGTGATGAGCTCTGCGCACTAAAGGCCTCCCCTGTACAAAGGAAGATGCTCACTGTCTCTTAAGCACAAAGGACCTGCTCACAGGTTACCCGTAGCATGTAGATGGATCCCATCAGTGAGGGGCACAAGACTATCTGATGCTCGTGGTCTGATCCCAGTGCTCTTCCCAGCATTGTCTCCTACCAGAGGAGAGAATGAACCCTCCATTCCTAGTCCCCAGGTATAGTCCTTTTACCCTTTGACATGATCAGTGATGGAGTCCCTTTCCCCTTAGACTGCAGTATCCCCCACCCAAAGAGCCCTAGTGGATGCTGAAGCTATGGATGACACCAAACCCCAAAAAGCTGTTTCCTCCTCTATGCCAGGCAGTGAGTGTGGTGCCTGCAGAGGCCAGAAGAGGGATCAGATTCTCTGGAGCTGGAGTTATAGGCAGTTGTGAGCCACTCAACATGGGGGCTAAGAATTGAACTTGGGTCCTCTGCAAGAGCAAGTGCTCTTAAACATTAAGCCAGCTCACCAGCCACTAGTTTCCTTTTAGGAGGATGCAATGATAGTTAAAGGTGATATATTAAAGGTGATAGTTATTGCTGTGGCTTAAGTGTCCATAAGGGTTCGCTGAAATGAAAGGCTTGGAACCCAGGGTACATTTTGGGGAGGCAGTGTGACTGTCAGGATGTGGGGTCTCAAGTCACTGGGACCATGAGGTAGTTATGTGGCCCTGTAAGTTCTCAAGAGTGGGGCTTGCAACAAAAGGAGCAAGCTGGCCAATTCTATCCTCTCTGTTCCTGGTTTGAGGTGTAACCTCTTGCTTGTTCTCCAAGGTGCTCACACCACTGCTAGTCAACATAAGGTGACAAAGTCAAACAGCAGCCCTTTCTGCATATGCCATATGGACTTTCAGCCTCCAAAACAATGAACTAAATAAAGCTCTTCTTTAAAGGTAGACTGTCAGGAATCTCATGACTCTGCAAAGGTGACTAAGCCGTACAGTAGGGGAATGAACTAAGTGCCACTGAATTGTATACTTCAAGTCATTAAGTATGTGAATTTTAACTCAATTCAAAAACTGTTTCAATTTTAATGTAAACCTTGGAGAAAGCAGAAGGACAAATAAGAGCAGCACAAACAAGGCAAACGGGGTCAAGAAAACCCTAGTAAATGAGGAAAGAAGCCACGAGGACACTCTAAGATGTTATCTGAGATGGAAAGAGGGAGGTTCTTACTAGCAGAGGGAGGCCCCATCCTCAGTAATGGTGGGCTGACCTCCTCAAGGCACTGTGAACCTTCATCTTTCTGGTATGACATCCACTGTATATATGACATCCAACTGCATAGTTGTCACACGCTTGTGGAGAAATTTCCAGTTCCTTACACAAAGAAGGCAGGACAGGCTAAGGCCAAGTATCCAAGTCCTTCATCACAGAACATCAGGCATGCTGAGCCTCCACAGGGACAGCCATATGGGCAGCAAGTACTTGTTGGCTGTTCCCCTCTAGATTGGGAACAGCTCATGGGTAGGGGCCATACCTTGCCCATGGCTATATTCCTAACCTTGATCATAGCCCTTGCACAGAACAGGTGATTTCATATATGTGCTGAAGAAATTCTATCTATTGATGTATATTCCTAATACGCAAAATACAGAGATGTCTAAATGGCTCTAAAGGATATTCCAGGGATAACCCCCACCACACACACACACACACACACACACACACACACACACACACACACACACTTTTCCAGCTTCTACTTGAGTACTCTTAACGGAAACTTTAGCATTGTCTCTATCTTTTTAAATGTGACTATCGGGGTGACAGGTTAGGCTGCAAGGGCTCCTGAGACTAGATGCTCCAGCAACTCAGGTATTAAGCCATCGCCACAAGGTAGATACTGCATGTGACATGGAGACCAAAGTCATCAGGGTGAAAACAAGGTCCTCAGCGTCCATGCCAAGAGCAGGCACATGCCACAGAGCTACTAGCTTGTGGAGGAATGCTGCTAAGGTGACAGCCATCCCTCCAAAGCCATCTATGGGATAACAAGAAGCCCATGGCAGGGTGACACCTCAGGCTTTGCACACCTGTTTCAGACAAGGGCAAGTTTCAAGCTGGGGAAAGGCCCTGTTGCCACGTAAGGATGAAAGCAGACATGCAAACCACACTCCCCCATGGACACACACAGGTGGATAACGGCTTGCCTAGAGGACAAAGGTACCTTGAAGGAACTCTTGTTCCTTGTAAGGAACTTGAAGGTGGCACTGCACTCAGGTGAGCAGCACAGTGGACATATTTGACACATCTGACAGGATCAAGCTGTCAGGAAGAGGGTCCCAGGAAAACTATGGACCCCTGAGGAGACTGGAAGGTTTAGTGAGCCACCCCAGGCCTGGACTGGATCCCAGATGGCAGGCTGTGTGTGCAGGGGCACTTGGACACATCTCATTGTCTCTCTATATCGTGAAGGGTTTGATTTTTCTGAAGGCTGGGCAATCATTGCCCTGTCTAGTCACCGAAGCAAAGACTGAAAAAAGAATCAAGCCCCAGTGGCTCATCTGTTCCCCTGGTTCTGCCTAATGTGGTGAGGCACCACGGGCTAGGGGGTGGGTCGAGCTCTGATCTGATTTCAGCCAATCTGTTACTGTATTTCATTCCCTGTCCTTGTGCCCAGAGGCTGTTGCAATGGATATAAATTTAGAAAGAGAAAGATAACACAGAAAAGATTATTTTAACAAAATAGGTTGTTTCTCTATTTTGCTCAAGAAAAAGCTGTCTCCTTACTTATTTAGCCTTACCAAGGTGAAATCTGGTATTCTGGGCGGGAGCTTATTAATTTGTAACTGCAGCTCAGATGAACCAGCTGCACACGAAGCTGAAATGCCACGTGTCTGTCCTGAGTGTTTCCTAGAAGCCGAGGGGGTAAGAACACCACACAGCCCCTTGCACAAGACCTGGAATCCACTAGCCCCCTCTGGCCAAGCACAACACTAAACAAAGACAGTGTCTTCCTGGCATAAAATGGTCTCGATAGTCAACATCATGGTGCAGGGCTCCCAAACTGCCATGTCACTAGGAGTTACACAGCAGTTTAAATGAAACTGCTTTATAAGGAAATTAGTGTCAGAGATGAGAGGCTTTGGTTATGATGGAAATTGTACTAGGAGAGAAACTGCTTTGAAAAGTGCTGCTGCCTGCTCACAGCCTGAGGGGTTAGAGTCTACTCATAGTAAGAAACTGTCCATCCTCTCCATCACCTGATCTCCTAGCCCAATAACATATGAGGGGAGCAAAGTTCAATGAGTAGCCCAAAGTCATATGCCACTCGCAGAGGGAGACTTAGGAATAGGTCTCACAGTCCCTCCCCAAGACACCTTTGCCATCAAGTCCTCCCACCCCCCCACCTGGAAAGCAGCCAGACTCAGTGGCTGTACCTCCGACAGCATCTCATACTGGCCTCTTCTTCCAAGAGCAATGGTCAGTAAATCATAGACCACAGATGCACTCTGCAGGCTGATGAGGCGGTCGCTCTTGTGCTCAGGAATCCTGCTCAGCACAGCATCTCGGTTGGCCTGAAGACGACATGGGAGACAGAAGCAGATGGTGAGTCTATGGTGACCCTATGCTCTACTACTGCCATGCAGCACAGTGGCCACCTAGCCCTCCTGCCCCTCCACAGCTTCCTGAGGGGCTGGCCAGAAAGAGGGCAGGAGTGAGTAAGGACCTGTCACCTCAAGTTATGTATTCAAAAATCCCCAGAGCACCATAGATATGGTCTATGGTTTGATTCAACCCTGAAGGTCAGATGTGAGCCTCTTGGCAGGCATTTGAAGGAAGCTCTGCGAGGTTGGGCAAAGCAGAAAGCTTCCCTGTGTCCAGGCCCACAGAGCCACAGCATCCTTCAAGTGAGGCCCTGCTGTGTCTCTCTGGGTTCCTGCTCTGTGCTGAGGCGGGAGACAGCACCCTTAACTCTGCACTTCCCGTAAATGAATGGTGCCATCAAGTCCCATTAGTCCCATGGAGACGATCATACTGTCCTCTCAAGATCCCTACATGCCACCTCTACAGGAATAGACTCAAAGACTAATCCAGTCTTCTAAAGAGAAGCACAGAACCGATGCAGAAGAGAAGACAAGGAGTGAGCAATTTTCACTTGGCCACAGAGGACTCAAGAAAACACTGGCCAATCTCACATCTCCACTGTAGCGCAGAAATCCATCAGGAACAGCCAAGCTCCCCATGCTATCTACCAGAAATCAAATGCTCTTCACAGCAACGTGTTTTCACTGCTTCTGAAATTTAATTTCTCCACAGATTCCTCCAGATACACCACACATGCTAGAGACTCAACAGCTATTTCATTTTCCTTTATTTCCCTAATAGGGAGTTCTGAATCAATCAAGTCAAATTTCTGTCAGCTTTCCTGACCCAGCTCTACTAATTAACAGAGGTTTTCAGGCCCATCTGCCTGATGGGCAATACAAGGCCTGCACAGTCTTCCTGGTGAGAGTGGTGCATGAGATTGTGGGGTCACTTGTTTACCAGGCTAATGTTATCTTCCAGCCTGACATTCAGAAAGGCCAGGCACACACCTTCCCTCTCCCTAATGAGGCAAAATGCCTCCTTTCTGTGTGCATCCAAGGCATTTACTTTTAGCCACCCATCAGGACTTACTCACTTGAAAACTCCTTGCTCTTAAATGTCAAAGCCAAATGAGAACATAGAAAACAGGCCACTTCCTACAAAGTGAGTCATCTCTTATGAAAACAAGACTGCTTTTGAAGATTTCATTCTAAGTTTTCTTTACACAGCGCCTTTTGAGCCCAACAAAAGACGCTCTGAAGGAAGAAGTGCCTGCTGGCCTGCTGTAGATGGTCTCGTCTTATTTATTTGCTATTAATATTCCATTCTGAGACCAATGCCTGGAAGAAAACAAAATGCACAGATACTATGTAGGAGAGGTTTACAAGTTACACCAAATGTATCCTCTTTTTCAGAGAAGATATTAATAACTTTTGTTTTCAAAGGTAGAACCTAGAACTATAAGCAAAACCACACGTAAGGATCCAGGAATCCTGGTTTGGTGGAGTTTCTGCAGACATAGTTCTGACGAGATCTTTCTCCAGAAAACTAATTTGCTATGCACTGAGAAAGCGGTACACTTCCAAAAGATTTCTTGTAGGTAGAGAGACATGGATAAATTTATGTTTCTTAGTTAAAGTAGGAACCAATAAAGAATATCATTTTCTCAGACATCCAGAGAACACGGCACATTTCATTTTGGTTCTGAAATTGAGCACATGCATTTTTCTCTCCTGAAAAATCAAGGAGTCAGGGGACATTAAAAAAAAAAAAAGTCTTCTGAAGCTAACTTCATATAGAAAAGATACTTAGGGAGGACGTGGTTGTTTTCACATTTAGTTACTGATGACATCACTGGATTTCATTGTCCCCTGAAGAGACTTTTCCAGGAATTAAATACCATGGAGGCAAATCTGACTGCTTCAGAGGCATCTCAACTTGGAGTATTATTGTCTATATCACTTCCATGAAGGAGTGAGTTGGAGATATCACTCCAAAGGTTCTACACTACACTACAAGCAAGTACTAAAGCCATGTTTTCCAAATTCCAGAGTGGAATACCTGATCTGACAAATGAACACACTATTTTCAGTCAGAATCATCCAGTAACCCACCATACTTTCAGAGCTTGGGCACCATAACTAATAGAGTTTGCACCAGGAAACTACCTGCCAAGTTATGAAGAGTCCAGTGCAGGACACAGGAATATCAATAGGGAGGCCAGGACAGTGGCCTTCATCAAAACGGTGATGAAGCAGGTGAATCTTGTTCACTTGAAAAACAGTAACTGAATAGCACCCACTGCCAGTGTGGTCATCTACGCCTCTTCCCTGACAGTGCCAAGGCAGAGCCAAGACTAAATGACACCGTCCTAAGTTACAAGCTGACGGTCAAGGAAAGATGAACCAGGGGGCAACCAGCTTTCTGGAGAGGAAGTGAGCCCAATGACGTCAAGAGCGGCCCAGTAGAAAGCAATGGTAACTCAAGCAGTCTGCTCCTGTAATTTCTGGGCCATTTTTCAGAACAAGAAAACTCCAACCTGAGGCAAGAGAGTTACCTACCCTGTCTGGCCTAGCCTCTGTTGGCCACCTCTTATCAGCATGGTCCCTCTATCCATGGTTCACCTCAGCATATTTCTTGCCCCCAAGTAAGCACCACATTGAAGGTAGGGGCATCTCTTGCCTTCCTTATTCTTTTTTCTCCATATCCTGCCTGATGGGCTGAAAGTTCAAGGGAGGAGCATATAATTTACCCAAAGGAGTGTCAAACGACCACCCCAGGCATGCATTTGCTTACTCTGGCTTCAGGTCCCTCTATAAAAAGAAGAGGGGTAGACAGGAGGCCCCTGAGTCCTTTCGAGCTCTAGGAACCTGTTTTTCTGCTCAAGTACTTAGCACACATCATCTACCTGCAGCAGTCCTAACTACTACATACAGTGCAGCATCCCCAAGGCTTAAGCCATGGCCAGAATCTTCAAGCCAGACCAGAAGTTCAACAGATAATAAGCAATGCAGTGAAGACCAAAATCCAATACCCTGGTCAAACACTAAGAAAGGGTTTCTAAGGAATCTGATAATCTGGCCAGAACACCCTCACAAAGCAGAGCTGACCAACAGGAGGGCACTACCACAGCCTGAGACTCTGTAGGGCCAGATCAGGTATGCAGAGAAAACAGGGTGGAACCAGGCAGTTTCATCTGGATCCTGCCAGGGAAAGCAGAGGTGGATGTGTCCCAAGTGAGCACTCATTCTCAAGCCAGGCATACTGAGAAGACCAAAAGGGGTTCCTTCTGGGCTGCTTCCCCTGCTAGGTTTCCTTGGTAAGTCATTGTCACTAGAGTTTCCACATGTAGAATTTCAGTTCTATGTATTTATGTGCATGCACCGGTATCCAATCAACATTTGGTAGATGGATGATAAACCAGGAACCCTTTTAACTGCTTGAGATGACCAAGGGACAGTGTTAACCAGTCCAAGAATTAAGAAATGTCCTTTTAAATATCACTGCTGGTTTTTCCTACCTAGGTATTCCTTCTAGAAAGTATTTTCTCCAGACCATGCATCACCATACTGAGGTACTGGCCAGAGCAAGGAAGGGACTCTAGGGACAAGAGAAAGAACAATGAAAATCACATTGCACTTACCATTGATTCACTAATCAGCAGTAACAACAGGGCCTCTTCAGTATTTTCTTGAGGACAAAAAATGCTGCATAAAAAAAAACCATCTTTGATATATGGCAGTTTTGAAATAACACAAGACACATGACTACAAGCAGAATGTAATGCTAAAAGCATCTCGGATTTTTTATAGAACACGTGAAAATTACTGTATAAGTTGGACACTTGAATTAGTTTGCTTATTTCTATGGCAATCCATGGAATTAATACATTTCAGCTACACATCTTAACGGCAAGCAGAAGGGTGAAATAAAACTGTAAAAATCCAAGTTAAAAGCCCAAATAACATATGTACCTATTACAGAGGCAGAAATTGCAATCACTACAAAAATGGTGTTATGTAAATAATACAGGCTTTTGCTTCCACCCAGTATGAGCACACAGAGCAAACTAAACAGTCCTCTTCTTACCTGCTTCCTGTTAATTGCCATATCTTATTTTGTCATTTGATGAAATAAGAGATTGAAAGCAGTTTTGGAGTTTGAATAATTTCCCTAATACCTTAAGAATTTAGTGAGTTATCTTACTTAAACACACGTTTCATTCTGGGGCAGTATGCATGAGCTGTCTTGTTAATCTATTTTATGGTATTTGGCTGAACTCTAAAATCTTGGATTAAAAGAAAAAACTTTAAGCTCAATGTTGCTGAGGATTAGAAAACAATAAAAACCCAAACATTACCCCAATCTGTACCCTCTAGATCCTATTTTTGTATGCTGAGAGCACTTTTAAGGACATGCAGCTTTTTTTTTTTTTTCTTCCTCCTCTAAAGCTCTACACTCTTTGGAGTAGAATTCTGAATGTTATCACCAACTGGCCAAACTCAACTTTTTTTTCAGATAATTGAAAACGAGTTTATTATGATAAATAAAAATAAACTTGGTTTTAAAAAATCCCGTCTATTTTGAAGATGACTAAATAAGGACTAAATTTACATTTTCTTGGGATAATATGTCATTTAATTGAGATTTCCTCTCCTAAACAAAAAAAGCAAACCCCACGTTTTCCAGATAATTATAAATCCTTGTTCTCTTTAAGGTTGGCAATGCTTCTGTGGCATCAGAGGACACTGGAAGTGGGATGGAAAGTACAGTGCCTGGTCCTTCTGGAGACCTCTACCTGCAGGGGTTTCTGCAGAGCTCAGTCATGGCAAGGCTGGCCTGGTGCAGTGGGATTCTGGGCTAGGAGTTGCTTCTTTTGGAAGTCAGCTTATGGTGATCTGGGCTTTTAGCAAAATGGAATATTTCTCCTTAAATTTGGAAAATCTAAAGGCTCAGAACCAAGAGTGCTTGGGGGGGGGGCAGTAAATTATTTCCTGATATCCTGGCTGTACTCACATGTAATTGGGACCTCATAAATAAAGCAGTAACCCTAACCATTTCTCTCCTGGCTAGCCAGTCCTGCATTGTTCAGACTAATTGAAAAGAGAGAGAAAGCCATGCTAATTATGACTTAACACCAGCCAATTCAGTCCATGGATAATCTCCAAATTCCATTTGAGCCATCTAGCCTGCTTAAATGCTAGGTTGTGTTGTTTTTACCAGAGTTTCTAACAAGGGGCACATTAACTGAGTCTAATTCCACTTCCTGGGCCCTCCCTGCTGGGCAGGTGGTTGGGCACTAGCAAGTTCCAGGGCTGGGAACAGGAAGGTGGAAGGAAAGAACCAGAAGAACCGTGGAAGACATGCCTGAAAGTCACACACTGGAAAGTTCTCTCTCAACAGTTAAGACTTCCTGAGACCCATTTCTGTCCACTTCTCTCTTCTTTGCTCACACAAGTCTGGATCCCAAAGCAGATGATGGTCAAAGCTATTGGGACCTTCCTTTTGTGATATTTTCTGCTCTAAGGCCTCAGAGCTTCAGGGGAAGACTCTAGATGGAGTGCTAGACCCAGGGCAAGCTGCATAGAGGGCAGGGTGAGGGACAAAAGGGCTAACTCCCATGAGCCAGCAGGAGGTGAGAGGCTGCAGGCCCAGCCCATTCACGCTACCAACTCCAGGGGTGATCCCCAGGCAAACTCAGTTAAATTCACCAATGCATTATGCGGTGTTATAAAAGACACAAGGAAGAAGAGTGAGAATCCTGATGTGCCAACAGTAACCATGTCTTTCCAGGGCCGCAGGGTAACAGTTCTTTTCTAAATGTTCTCCAGATTGCTGTATGTGCTGAAAACAAGCACACCAAAGAAATTAGGCCAACCTTATCCAACTGTATATTAGCTTTCCTGCTGCCTGATGTTACTGCATGGAAATGAGATGGCTGGTAAAGGTAGTGACCATGAGGAGTCACTGAGAACATGTGGGTGTAGGAGTGGCATTGAGCTGTCTGCCCATAAGGAGCTGGTGCAACTTCAAGGTCTAGCTGAGGGCACCAGGGAAGAAGGAGGACTCTAATCAGTAACTGAGAGAACTTTGATGGCAGGGATTGGCTGGCCCAATCTGAAGGACATGTGGGTTTCCCCATAACTCTTTTTTTTCTTTGTCAACTTACATGTGTCAATATCCACCTCATAACATAGAAAGCATGCCCCTCATGCAGGGATCAGGTGAGTTCCACATGGCTTGTCATCTTACTTGACACTAGCTCCTGCACTGCTAGGGAGGGAGAGGCCTCTCTGCATGATGACTGCAATGAGACCAGTTGGTTCAGCCAGCAAAAAGTCACCCTAACCTGGGGACGTCCCTTGCCTTTCCACTTTGATTAACACTCCAGCCTACCAAAATCTCTGCCCAGGCTACCAGGAGGCCCAGACAAAAATCCATTGCTCAGTGGAGATGCCTCTTTCTGTGGCTACCAGGGGGTCAGCCCAAGCCAGCACTCACAGGAACTCATTCAACATCTTTTCATCAGGCACTAGCAGGTCTAATAGTGACTTTTAATCTCCAGCTTTGCTTGTGCTAATCTTCTAGTCTAATACGCATTTAATTATCTATGCTGCTGCAAATATTCTTACAAGGATAAAAGGAAAACTACACCTCGCTGAAATACACATGAATATATGCTGAGACGTGCACCAGAACCTGCACAGCACCACAGCTTCTACTCCTCGCAAACTCAACAGGTATCATAAGGAGAACAGATTCGCATACTTGGGGACATTTACAGAACAGAATAGCATGAAAGACTGAAAATGAACTACTGCTACATGCAAAAATATGGGTGAAGCTTTCAAATATGGCATCGGACAAAAGTTAAACATGAATGAACATATAATTTATTATTTCATTTACATAAATTTCTTTTTCTTCACTATGCTGAGACAATGCAACAATGGCTTATTTATTTTGGAATGTGGTCTTACTAAGTTTTCCAGGCTGGTCTCTAAGTCCTGGGCTCAAATGTTCTTCCCATATGAGCCTCCTGAATGCTGAGCGTATAGCTGCCACCTTGCCTGACATACAGCTTTTAAAAACCAGCCAGAGGGTCAAGAAGATGCTCAGTAGGTAAAGGCACTTGCTGTCAAGTCTGAAACCTGAGTTTGATCCCTGGAATTCATATGGTAGAAAGAAAGAACTGACTCTGGCAAACTGCCCTCTGATCTCTAGGTATGCATACACACACACACACACACACACACACACACACACACGCACGCACGCACGCACGCACACACACACATACATACAGAGAAAGTTTTTTAAAAAAAAAAAAGCCACACTAATCATTGTACAAAGAAGTCTCTGGGGCTCTGGCACTGCTTGCCTCTTGAAAAGGATGCTATCACACACATGCTCACCTGACCGAATCTCCATTTAAAAAAAAAAAATATTTTATTACTTTTATTTTACGTGTATGCATGTATTTGCCTGCATATAAGTAAGTGCACCTGTGTTGTGCAATGCCTGCAGAGAACAGAAGAGGCTGTTGGATCCCCTGGAACAGGAGTCATGGACAGTTGTTAGCTGCCATGTGGGTGCTGGGATTTGAACCCAGGTCTTCTGCAAGAACAGCCAGTGTTCTTAACTACTGAGCCATCTCTCCAGCCCCAAATCTCCATTTTTACGTTTTTCTTTCTTTCTGCTTTTTAGTTGACTTCATGTCAAACTGCTTGTTTTTATGCTTTTCATTTGCATATTTTTCCCTATGTCTGTTAGATACTAATAAAAAGCTGACCCTAAAAATAAATAGCCAAAGAAGAAGAAATTCCTCACAGAAAGACCCAGAAGAAAAGGAACAAAGGCCTATGACAGACGGTCCTCCCCTTCTCTGCCCAGGATTTTCAACACCTTATTTTTCTTCAAAATTCAAGTTATCTGGCAGAGAACAAGCAGTTTCCACCTCATGCCCAGGTGCAGTGGGGCAGGGCTTCCTGGCAGGTTTGTTTTTCAGCTGTACCCATTCTGACCAACATTCTGGATGGCCTCTGCTGGACTGCAAGAATCTGAATCTCTTAATCCACAGACTCTTAGATCATGAGTCCAACCACTGGGTCATGTAACTGAATTTGGGGGATCTCAAAAAATGTGGCAATGATAAACGGTTTCTAAAATGTAAGGAACAAAAATTAATTCAGATTCAAACAAATGAACCCAAGGTCTTTCTGGCACCACAGAGCATCACAACAGCCTTGATTCTGAACACACAACATGCACACAGTCAGTGTGTCACTAATTGTAGTGTTTGAGCTACACATACAAAGTTTCCTGTTCTACAGAAACATAATAGGTTAATTATGGAAAATAAAGATCTTTAAAATTTTTCTACTGCCATTCCTCAGCATGTATCAAACTAGACTATGTTATGCTAGAATGTCTGATTTTTAAAAATTATTGCTTGAGTTGCTGACTTGAGTTTCAAAAAAACCCCAAAAACTGTTAAATGAATTTGGTCTTGGGATTAGGACACAATTTCCAATAATTTCTGAAATGGCCCCAACATATTTCTACCATTTTGTTCTATATATTTTTGCAAAGTTGTATTCTCAGGATTTACGATTATAAAACCAAAATACTGATAATCTCTGAAAAATGCTGATGTCCTATGTCCACAAATATTCAGCTAAGATTTAATTCTTTACATGAAAAATAAGCACATCTCACTAATATACAAATCTGATTTCACCTTTAATAAATGGTAAAATTATATGTAGATCAAATAATTGTTTTATTTAAAGTTTTGAAATTTATTTACTTATTGTGATTTCTTTTTTTTAAATTCTTTCGCGACAGAGGACCCCATAGCCCCAGATGGCCTGGAACTCAAGATATAGACCAGGCTAACTTAAATCTCACAGAGATTTGTCTGCGTCTGTTTCCTGAGTACTGAGATTAAAGGTGTACGCCACTATGCTTGGTCTTAAATAATCATATTAAAATAAATTTCTTGATGATGTATTATCAGTACATGTTTTGATTTGCATAAAAATTTCTCAGATGAAAGGGGTTGCTAGTGGAAGAAGTTCAAGAAGCCCTAACCTAAACTACAAGTCTGAGCAGAAAGGGCGAATCTGGGACTACCAGCCAAAGTGAATCCATCATATATGGATTCCCTCACAGCGCCCATGAGCACACCTGAGATGGTAGTGATATCCTGCCACACTGCCCATGGGTTGATGGAAAGCCCAGCCTTGGTAGTAAGGTGGCTCCAAACAAGTGGAAGCCCAGTGGATTTTCTCTCTTTGCTAATATTTCCAAGTAAACATAGGATGCGAAAGACTGAGGAAGTTACAAGGATTAGCATAGAGATGAATGAAATATACAGGAGAGAATTCTCATAGAGAAAATGAACAAAACTGAGTGTTGTTTCTTCAAAAAAATAAATAAAATGGAAGAAATTGTTAGAATGCCCTCTGCAAAGGGAGAAAAGACCAAAGGAAAGATAGGATGCAAAACCAACTCTGCAGGAAAAAGAAACAGACCCCTACAATAAGAACAGTGATGTGGTGGCAAATCAGCAGACTCTAATGAAATAGACAAATTTACAGGAAGACATGAATACTAAAGCTCATACATGAAGCCATGCAGAGCCAAGATCCTGAATACAACTCTTCATGTTCTTTTCTAAAACAGAAGTGAAAGAAACACACCCAACTCTTTGCATGTGCCTAGAATTATGCAGATACCTCAAAAGACAAAGATATTGCAAGAAAACTACAGAACAATGTATCTTTTACAAGTACAGGTGTAAAAATCTCCAAAATACTAACATCTAGAATCCAGAAATAAATTTAAAATTATACACTATGATCTAATAGGATGTATCCCAGGAATACAAGACTTAATTCAACACCTGAAGATCTATTAATGAAATGCACTGCAATAGTAAAGGATAAAAACTCCATGATTAGCTGAATAGATACTGAAAAGGTATCTGTCAAAATCCAATACTCCAGATAAAAGTTCAGGAAACTAAGAATAGGAAGAATTATTTTCAATCTGACAGAGGGCATCTACAGAAACCTATAGCAAATACCATAACTAATACTGAAAGACTGGATGCTTTCCTGGGTTAAGATCAGGAATAAGACAAGGATGATTGCTATTGTTTCTACTCAGCATTTCATGAGAGGTTCTAGCCAGGCAACTAGAGAAGAAAATGAAATTAAAAAGCAGCCAGCCTCGAAAGAAATAAGCAAAACTATATTTACAGATGACATGATCTTATATAGAATGTCCTAAGGAACCTAAAAAACTGATAAGCAACAAATTCAGCAAGATCATAATCCATGTTATCAGTATTCTAGATCAACTCTTCTTCCATATACTTGCAGTGAGTGAACAGTCAAAAAATACAAAATTAAGCTGGGTGTGGTGACGTAGGGCTTTAATCTCAGCATTCAGAGGCAGAGGCAGGCAGGTTTCTGTGAGTTCAAGACCAGCATGGTCTACGTACATAGTGAGTTCGAGGTCAGGTGGGTCTACAAGGAAACCCCATCTCAAAAAGATGAATAAAAATAAATAAAAAATGAAATTAAGAAAACAATTCCAAGGGATAGAGATGGCTCAGCAGTTAAGAGCACTGGCTGCTCTTGCAGAGGACCTGGATTGGCCCACATAGAGGCTAATAGCCACCTGTAACTCCAGTTCCAAGGGATCTGACTCCCTCTTTGGTCTTTGTGGGTATTGCATGCATGTGGTGCACTTACATACATACATGGAAAACACTCATACACATAAAATAAATCCTTTTTTTAAAAAAAGAAAATAATTCCAGTGATAATAGCACCAAAAGAGCTATGGGGCTGGGGAAGTAACTCAGTAGAACAGCACTTGCTTAAGTGCTCTGTGCAAGGCTCAGAGCTCTATCGCCAACACTCTTTCCAAAAGAAAAAGGGGAAGGAAGCATTGTACAAACACATCAAGAAATTAGGAATAAATTTAACAAAAGAAACAAACCTTATAACTCTAAAAACTATGAATCACTGTTGAAGAGTCTGAAAAGTATAAATAGAACATTTCTTGCCCAGATCAGAGAATGCAACACTGCTAAGACAGCATTATTACCCAAATTCCTACGAACACCATGACTACACTTCTTTTACGGCAGCAATGAGTGAGCTGATATGAAGATGCACAGGAATTCAGGGGACTGGGGAGAGGGCTGACAGCTAGAAGTGCTGGGTACTATTTTTGAAGTAGTGAAATGGTTTAGACTTGAATATGGTGATAGATGCATAACTATGGATTTACCACAAGCCACTGAGTATACACTTTAAGTCCGTGAAATCAGAATATGTGAATTATAACCAACAAAACAGGTTAAAACCAAACTGACCATGTGTACGTGGTAGAAATGAAGTGTGTAACTCACTTTGAGAATGATTCCTTTAGACTATTATCTGAATCTGTGCTTGACCTGGAATTCTCCTTAAACAGGTGGGATGATGACATCATGGTAGTGTCAGAAGACAACCACAGCCCAAGCAGCTAGGGAAACAGCTCTGAGGCAACGTTAGGGGAGAGCTCCAACCAGGGGTGGGGATGAGGTAAGGCCCCAGATCCTTCATGTACCTGGTATCTTGGCTATTAGGAAGCATCTAAAGTGGGAAACAAACCTAGGGTTTGTTTTGAAGATGTAAATATCACTTAAAATATGACTCTCAATCTGCCTCTAGATAGTTCACCATGAAGGAACTGGCACTTTTACAGTGAGTTTGGGAGCTGCCAGAATAGATGTTTCACCACGCCGGATAAAGGCTATAAAGGAAGCATGGCCTGTAGCATTAGGCACACTCATGGTTCAGCAAGGCTAGAAAACAGAGGTTAAAACTAAATTAAAATAAAATAATCCAAAGAAAAAGCCAAGACTGCATTCCTTTGTCCAAATCCACATAAGAAATACAAATCCTGATGAAAGTGACTACAAGGGAGAGAAACCAGGGGTCAGCTTAGGGTCAAGGCCACAGCCTTTGGAAGACACAGCATCGTTTTCAGATGTCCCTCAGGAAATCAGGAGCCCCTCTCCCAGTATGTTCTCTGGGGCTTTGGATGTGGCAGTGGGCAGTCTCTCAGTCCCTTGTCCAGTTTGGTAACACTAACAAGGTCCACCACATTCATTCACCAGTGTCCCCTTCTTCCAGGAAGAGATCTAGAAAGGCCATCAAGCCTTGTCCTTTCAGACAAAGAGGGAACAGCTTCAGGGAAGTGTATGAACGAGTAAACAAATATTCTCATCTCCCAGTCCTTCTTGCCTCTCCATCCTCTGTCCTCCTGACCCAGGGAAGGCTCAGGATTGAGAAGGCAGATACTCCGTCTCCAAGGAAACCAAGGCCCAAATTTAAAAATCTTAAATAACAAAGAGGTTCTAAAGAGACATCACTTTCCAGTCACCGGCAAATGATTGTCTTTATCTAGCCAAATTAGAACAAGATTAAAAAGATGAAGGAATTGCTAAAGAAAGGAATACTGCCGACTGCTGTGTAATGCTGGGGATCTTGTGATAGCAAAGTAAGAATCCAAAAGACTCACAAAGAAAGGAGACAGCCCTGAGGGGAGGACTGCCTACCTCTAATGTTCCCAGCATGCAGACATCTGCTGGAGCTATGAAGAGTGACGTATCACAAGGAAACTTGATGAGACTTGTTTAGCTGATGCTCCTGAAGGGGAGAACTATACCCTGTGCTTCTCTACTCTGCCTTGAACAGCCTCACATTCCCTTCCCATCCCAGAGCCCCCAGCCCAGGATACCAACAACCATACTTCTCTCCTGAGTAGATGCGGGCTCTGCGCGGGAGTGTGTAGGTTTTGGTGTTTGCTCCTTTCCGGAGAGGGTCATCCAGAGGGGACTGGCATGGAGGATCCTCCAGGGGATTCCAGTAGCTCTGCTCACACATACCCCGCAACAAGATCTCCGCCAACTGCCTGGCTATTGTCTGGGAATACAAAGGAAGAGAGGCATGACCATGAATCTATTCTCTATCATTCTTCACTATCAGTCGTCACTGGTTGAGGAACCCACTCCAATGCTTAGAATGAAAAATGTTCTCTTTTATGATGAAAATTGTACCTGTTTATGACAAAAGAAGAAAATATGACCTAAGATATTTGAGCATTTTTTAAAAGGTTAATGAACTCCCCATACTGCCCTATCTACATTACACCCCCGAACACTAAACATGCTTTATACCTGAAACAACTAAACATGTAGCTAAGCCCTTTCACAAGAGCTCAAGAAACAGCAGGTGAACTGCAGATATTTTCATCACCTCGTAGCAGATGCCTGCTAAAGCTCAAACCTGGAGAAAAGCCAGGACTCAACTTTAATGATGGTATTGTTGAAAAAACCCTCTGCACTGTCACATGTACACTTCAGATATTCAAAATGTCCTCCTCAGAAGCACATGGGCAGGCCTCACATGGGCCCACCCCAGGACCTAGTACTTAGGTGCCCTATTCTGAGCCCATCCTGGGCCTCTCAGCTCAGAAGCTCTAGCCAGCCTTTCTGATAGGGTAGGCAAAGTAGAGGCTACAGTGTCTGGTGAGAAAGACCCTTCTGCAAAGCAGTGGGTTTCTCCCAGCCCCCTGTAAAAACCTAGAAACACCCAGATCTTATCCTAAGTGAGTATAGGTCAATACATTTTCCTGAGCCCTCTGGAACTCTACTGCCTAGAACTATAGCCCAAGCGAGCAATGAGAGGGTAGTCTAAGAAGTGTCTTGCTGATTAAGGCTCATACTCTTACAGTGGTGAAGACACACACACACAAACACACACAAACACACACACACACACACACAAACACACACACACACACACACACACACACACACACACACACACACACACACACACTTCAAACAGAATCCCTGAATCCCAGGGTACTCCAGACTACCCTTGATCGGCCAGAGATGGCAAAATAAAACTTGAACGAGCAGGATTTTCTAAAAGTTTTGTATTCTTTGGAAGATATAAGAAATGCTCATGTTCCCAGAGAAGGAAATGTTTAAATAAATTTGTTCTAAAAGAAAACTTTCCTAAGCTTCATCCATATGAAACCTGTTAAAGCTCCCTAAGGAAACTTAAATGTAACCAAATCACTAGCTTGGTGGCTTCTGATAGCCACTGGGAAAAGGTAAATCTTTTTGATGACTCCCATGTAGGACCCACTGCCTAAATGTCTATAAAAATTGTGAAATTAAATACGCTCAGATCATCCCCAACTGAGCCATCTGTAAAGATCTCATAAGAACACGACTTCTAGGACCTAAACAGTTCCTGAGCTGTTTTCCAAACCTTCCATTATTGCTTCATTTTGATTTCATTGCAGCCATATGAGCTAATGGCTTCTGCTAGAAGCTTCAACTATCACAAACACCCTTCACTCACTGTAGCTGAAAAATAAACATTAAAAGAAAAGGAATCTCTCTCTCTCTCTGTCTTTGTGTCTGTGTCCACACACCCCCATTATGAGACCATTTTAAAGTGCACAGCCCAATGGCATTTAGTGCATTCACAAGGTTGTGCAACCTTCTACCCAGTTCCAGTGCAGTTTCATCACCCCAGAGTGAAACCCTATAGCCTTGAAGCAATAGCTTCTCATTTTCCCCTCCTCTCAAACCCTGAGAATAGCTAATATGTGCTCTGTCTTATGGATTTACTTGTTTAGCACATTTCAGAGAAATGATCATATGGGTCTTCTGTGCCTGGCTACCTTTACATAGTGTAGTACTTTCAAGTTTCATTCATGTTGTCTATTTAGTCTTCATTTACCCCCTTTATTGCTGAATAAGATGGGCATACCCAATTTTGTTTATCCATTCAGATTACAGACATTCAGGTTGTTTCCCTCTTTTGACTGTTGGAAATATGGCATTCATGTACAAGTTTGTGCTTAAAACTTTGTTTAGAATCTTTGGCACAAGTAACCAGAAGTGGAATTACTGTGAATATACTTTTGAAAATATTTATTTATTTATTATTATTATTTTTTTATGTGTATGAGTGTATTGCCTGCATGTAGGTAAGTGCACCCGTGTCGTGCAATGCCCTTTGGAAGAAGAGGCCGTCGGATCCCCTAGAACTGGAGTTATGGACGGTTGTTAGCTGCCATGTGGGTGCTGGGATTCAAACCCAGGTCTTCTGCAAGAACAGCCAGTGTTCTTAACTGCTGAGCCATCTCTCCAGCCCCAAATATACTTTTAAACCAATTTACCATCTCATAAACAAATCGTAAAGTTGCAATCACTACCATCTAAAATGAATTATATAGTTATATATTAATGATGGCTGGTGGGAAGTGTCTTATCAATGGATGGAGAAGCTTTCTTGTATCCTTCATAATGAAAGACACCAGTGAAAGAGCCAGGAGGTGCTTCTGGAGGTAAGGAATCACTTGTGGAAAGGTTAGAAACAGATTCTTTGGCCCTGCTCTAGCTTTGCTCTGTTGAAATTTTCTGAGGTTGTAGATCAATGGCAGAGACCTTGCCTAGCATCACTGAGACTCTGGGTTCCATGCCTAGCACCACAAAACAAAAACCACATTTCCTCAGATAATGCTGTCATGCCTTTTCTGTTAAGCACCTAAGGGATCAGAAACAGTTTAAGTCACTTGACAATCATCAACTGACAGCAAAGACACACTTGGACCTCAAAGTGACAAAGTGGGAAGTATCTCCCCTCATGTCAACACCATCAGCTCATAGCTGAGATGTCCAAGGGCAGTTCCAGCCACTGCATAGGTTTTAGGAGGCTCCTTCCTGGCCACCTCAGGAAAACAATGGAAGATCTTCCTGCCATAGATATCTATCCATTGATTATCATCTATCTGTCTATTTATGTCTTTGAGCATCAACATAAATACCCATATTTAAGCCATATTGAAACACTGACCTTTTCAATGTGACTTTAAAGCAATTCAAACAGATCAGTGGAGAAGCTTTATTGAATGCTAAGAATAAGTCAGTTTGAGAGAAAAGATATCTGGCAACAATTTTCACCTATATAATTGCATATTCTTTTCCCTTAAAGGACCCTAAAAATCAAAATGCTTTGGCACACGCCTTTAATCCCAGCACTTGGGAGGCAGAGGCAGGTGGATCTCTGAGTTCGAGGCCAGCCTGGTCTATATAGTGAGTTCCAGGCCAGCTGGGGCTACAGGGAAACCCTGTTCCAAAATGACCAAAAAAAAAAAAAAAAAAAAAAAAAAAAAAAAATCAAAATGCTTTGTTTGAATGTAAGACACATAATTAGACCAATATAAAATATTGAAGATCCAATAAGCTCTTGGTGGGAGGTGTGTGTGTGTGTGTGTGCGTGTGTGCGTGTGTGTGTGTGTGTGTGTGTGTGTGTGTATAAAGCTCCTCATCTGGTTCAACAGCATAATCTACAAGCCTACAGTTTAGCTGCCTAGCCCTATAAATCCTATCTGAAACCCTGGAGATGTCATGTGACAGTCGAGCTTCATTTCTTATGACACGAATCTCTTAGCCTTGCCCAACTGGACATTCCCCAATGACAATTAAGCACCCATGATCAAAGGAGGGCAATAACAAGGATGACAAAAGACAGAAGAAATGACAATTTTAGGACATTTATTAGTCTACTAAGTACCAGGCCTTCATCTCTTTGCTCATTCAGCTACATACAGTTCATATAATATAGACCATTTTTGTATTTCTTTTTCAAGTTTTATGGTCAATATAGTTACCCAAACAGCTAGTCCTTCAAGATCTCACCTATACTGTGCTACGTGGATTTAACATGACTCATAAGCACACAGCTGACCCTTCCACACACCAGCATCCAGGAGGGCCTCGTCCCACCTGCTTTAGTATGCAGTGGGTATACTTCAAGAGAACACTGTCACCAAGCACATGGCAAAATGCTCACAGCATCACTGACCATCAGGGAAATACAAATCAAAAGTACTATGCAGCAGCACCGCACACTCACTGGGACAGTTACAAACAAAAGATAATTCCAATGCTGGTTAGGGTGTGAAAACCCAGGGCCCTGCTAACTGCTGGCAGGAATGTACGGAGGGGCACCTGCTTTGAGAAGCAATGCTAGCTCCTCAAACCATTCAACACAGCAACAAGATGGCCCACTGTTTCTACTCCCAAACATAGAAGTAAAAAGGACACCTATGTCCACTCAGAAACTTGTACATAAATGTTCTCACAGCAGCATTAGTTACAATAACCCAAAGTGGAAACAACTCCAGTGTTAGTCAACTGAAAAAAAGTGGGTGAATAAAATGTGGCATATCAAAAAATAGAGTATTATTTGGCAATGAAAACAAAACACTAATAATTGCTGCAACATGAAGGACTCTTCAATGTATTATGCTAAATGAAGGGAGCTGTTATAAAAGACTGTATGGACTCCATTCATATGAAATGTCCAAAATAGGCAGACCCATAGAAACAGAAACTTGAGAGGTGACCAACAGGAACTAGGGAAGGGAAGAATGGGCATAGACTACCAATGAGCATAGAATTTCTTTTCAGATAAATTAAAATGTTCTAAAACTAAGTATTAAATATGCTAAAATGCTTAAAAGTACACTTTAAATGGGCGAGTCACTGTTTACATACACAGAATATGTAGACACATGGAACCATAAACATATGTGGACCAAACACCCTGGGGGCCTCAACCAAGTCATCAGTCACACTTACCATCCGCAGGTTCTGTGTCGTTCTCGTTTCCACAGCTCTGAGAAGCTCTCTGAATCTCCCGACTCCTCTTGTCAAGTTCCTGTGTGCACACAGAATTTGACAGGGTTTCCATCTGGCATGTATTAAAATCAAATATTTTATACACAGATTTCAATGCATTTTGTCTATATAAAAACTACTGGCTAGATTGCAAGGAAATGATTATTCTGCACATGTCTGTCTGTCTCTGGGCAACTGACCTACAATTGAGGATTTCTTGTACTTTTAACCCAATCGAATTCCTGAAAGAAGCAAAAACCTAAAAATATGTTCTGAGGAAAAAAGGGGGGAGGGGAGGAAGGAGGAGGAGGAGAAAGAGGGGGAAGAGGAGGAAGGGGGGGAAGGGGGAAGAAGAGGAGGAGGGAGAGAGATCTAGTAAGAGTCTGCTTCCAAATTTTCAAACTCACAATGACCCTCCTAGAGTGGGACTGGAATCAGTATTTTCACTTAAAGGAAGATGGTGACACTGGGCAGTGGGTAAGGACATCAGCAAGGCACTGCATACAATGTGGATAAGGTTCCTTGCTCATATTCATGGGCAGGATAAAGAGAGAAGATATGGAAAACGAGGGACCCCATCACTTAATCACTCTGCATCTTTCAGATCATATATCACTGCCTAGTAAATCCATCAAATGACCTGCCTTCAACTCTGTGATGACAAAAAGAAGCCCCTCTGAGAGCAAGTGTGTGATGACTAATACTGGGCTTCCTGCATGGATGAGAATAGGCTCCACCCACTGCCCAATGTGTCCCACAGACACGTCTAGCGAGGTATTTCATTGGGGACAACCCAGTCTTAGGTAACAACCTGGCCAATAGACCCCGGCCCCACTTGTCAGAGTGCTAGGTCCGGTCTCTTTGGCTGGGAACACTTTCCAGCCATTCCTCCCACCCATTCCCTTTACATTAAGTGCTGCCACCACCTATGACATAACCCAGTGATATTTATAACACACTATCAGAACACATCTCATCTTTCCAAAAAGCCACAGAACAGGTCAGCTGGTAACAAACCTGTCAGCCAGCTTCCGCAGGCTGTGACAGATGCTCAGAGTATTTGGCTCTCGTTTTGGATGACATTTTAAATCATGCAAAGGTATTAAATAAAAATGTGTCTTCTGTAAGTTACAAGCACTCACAAGGGCAATTGATTCACATCTTTGGCCTACATGACTTCTCAGGATTCTCATTCACAAGAACAGTCCAGAACTTTAAGATAATGCTTAATGGCCCCGGTACATAAATACTCCCAAGCCCTCTCACCCACCCAGATCAGATGATAACAGATCAGGAACTTTCTGGTGGCATAAAAAGAGAAGCCTGTGCTCAGGACTCCGAGCACCACTAATAAAATCTAACAGAGAGTCATGAACAAAAATGAGGGAATAGGCCCTGGGACATACAAGATACTCCGCCCCTTCATTTGTTTTTATGTATTTGTGTGCACAGGCAACAAACTGCACTGCTCTGGACTGAAGTGTGGTACTCTTAAGAATCCTGGTAGGGAGGAAATAGTGACAGCTGAAAAGGAATGGGAATGGCTCTTGGAGCCAATTTTATTTCAGAATCACCAATTAAACACCCACTGTGTACAAAAGGGGTAGCACTCTGAACTGTATGAAATCAGGGCATGCCTAAGGCAGCCATTGGAGAGACCCTCATAAAGATCCTCATAAAAGGACTGCTTTACTAATATGGAAATTATACCTCAAATAAGCACATCAAAGCTAAATATTATAACTCTAGGAAGGCTGCAAATAGGATTTGGTTATTTGGAGTGTCCCATGTACTCCTTGTAGAAAGAGCTATTTACACAGTTAGAGAAGCACAGAATTTTCTAGCTAGAAATTATCCTAGGCAATCTAGCTCACAGAAGTGAAACGGCTTGCTCAGGTTCAAAGCCTGGCAAGGGAGCACGATGAGAGCTTTCCACCATACTCTATTACCATATTGGGTAAAAGAAATATAAGCTCTCAAGCAGAATGTAACTCAAGACAAAGGAATAAAAATGTCTCCAAGAGATCAGGTCTGCATTTTGTTCCATCAATATGCAAATGATTTCACACACACAAGTCATATCAATTCTGTGTGTTCCACTGATGACAGCTAATAAGATACTCCTAGATACTGGTTCAAACTGGAAAGCAAATCCATTAACCCAGGTGAAGAAGCCCTGTAACCCATGGTAATGTCCTCAGCTACCTGATATAGGATGACTAGAGAAACCCAACTCCCTGTTCTGCCTGGATGAGGCTTCTCCCATGCAGGATGCAGGGCCTCTGCTGGAGGAACTGAAGAATCTGTGGCCTGTGCAAGTGAAACAGCACCCCAGGAGGCCAATACCGAGGAGGCCCTCCACTCAAATATAAACCACAGATCTGATCAGGGCAAAGGCTGTCCCCCAAAGCCAAAGTGCACACTTCTCAGGAAACTGTTTATATAATTTAAACATCTTGGGCTGGAGAGATGGCTCAATGGTTAAGAGCACTGGCTGTTTTTGCAGAGGACCAGGGTTCGATTTCCAGCACCCAGATGGCAGCTAATAACTGTAACGCCAATTCCAGGGAATCAAACACCCTCTTCTGGCATGACATGGGCACACCTACCTACATGCAGGCAATACACTTATACACATAGAACAAAAAATAAAAATAAACAATTCAAACATCTTAAACTCACGTTATTCAACCAATCACTTTGACTTTTGCCACCAAATAGAAAAAAGAAATGGTAAGCTAAATGGATAATCATGGTGACAAGGAAGAAAAAGGAAATTAGCTTGCAAGAACTACATTCTAAATGCTATGAAATCACCCCCCTTGAGGGAAATGAACAAAACCCACATGATTGCCTTCATATCTCTAAACTATTAGTTTGTCCTTAAAATGCTGAGATCCATTAAATATCTGGAACAAAGTGTTGCTTAAAATTTCTACTGCAAACTAAAACAGGAGAGCCAAGGAATTTCCCTGGTTCGAGGGTTTCCACAGACCCTTGAAATGAGGTCATTTAATCCATTTCAACACTCTTGACTAGACAGTGCAATGATGTCAGAATTCATTATGGTAAAAGTTTCTCAAAAGGAATGTTCTCGCCAGCATGAAACAGCGGGCACTCTGGCAAGCTGTCAGAACTTGGGTTCATCTCCTATGCTTTGCTTCGGCAAGCTTCCTGAGCTGGGTGCATTTCCTTCAGGTTGGAACCACTCCAACAATTCAGCTACAACCAAGGAGAAAAGGGCCTGCAGTCTCCAGAGCCAGCTGCTTTCTCGGCCAATTGGCAGGCAAAACCCTATTTCCACTCCCTGGCACCACTGCTGTGCCCAGCCCACCAGGAAGAGCTGGCAGCATCTTTCCACCTGTTCTTAGTCAAGCCTGGTTTTTCCTCTGGCAAGAAAGCCCATCCACCACTTTGCATAGGAGGCACATTCTGCTCCTCCCTTGACCTATTTCCATTTCTTTTCTCCCTTTTCTATCTGGTTTCATCCTCTTTCTCTGGAATCTTATCTTTCCAGGGCTTTCTGCTGGCCCACAGGCCTAACTTCCTAAGGAAGAGTGCTGTCCCCACAGATCATCAGGACAACTGGGAGGTACCAACTCTCTGGCAATTGCCCCCCCCTCAATTTAGGCCCTCCCATGCTCATGGATTGGAAGAATTAATATTGTGAAAATAACCATCCTACCAAAAGTCATTTATAGATTCAACACAATGCCAATCAAAATCCCATGACATTTTTCACAGAATTGGAAAAAACTATAGATTCATATGGAAGCACAAGAGACCCCAGATAGCCAAAACAACCCTGAGCACTAAGAGCAATGCCGGGGGGATTACTATACCAGATGTTAAGCTGTATTACAGAGCTACAGTCATAAAAACAACATGGTACTGGCACAAAAATAGACCCATAGATCAATGGAACAAAATCGAAGACCCAAATATGAGTAAATGCAATTTCAGCCACCTGATATTTGACAGAGCGTCCAAGAATATTCACTGGATGAAAGACAGCATGTTTAGCAAATGCTGCTGGCAAAACTGGATCTCCACCTGTAGAAGAATGAAACTAAACCCCTATCTTTCACCCTGCACAAAAGTCAATTCCAATTGTATCAAAGACCTCAAGTAAAGCCTGAAACTCTGAAACTGTTAGAAGAAAACATTGAGAAAAACCTATAAGATATAGGTGTAGGAAAAGATTTTCTAAACCGGACAACAATTATTCAGGAATTAAGTCAAGAATCAAAAAGCAGAGCCTCATTAAAC